GACTCTGTCTTATTTTCAGGAAAACACGGTATATACACACTCATGCACGTACATATATATACACCGCATATTCTGTATTTTTAAAAATCATATGTATATATTTCGCATAACATACACACACATGCCACAAAGCTTAGAAAGTTCTAATAATCTATGGATTTCCTTCTACAGTCATGCACAGTTATATAACATATAGGAGGAAATTCCAAAGTGTTTCAAGTAAAATTGATCTTTTTAAAAAATATGTTATTCATGTACCTAATTTAAGTATGTATGTAATGCATACTCCCAATGTCCATCATTAATTAGCTTGGAAAATGTGGAATTCTATGTCAATCTGGCTTCTGATAAAAGTTATGATGATTAATCCTGGAAAAAAATATTTATTTAGCTTTTTTAAAATTCTGCCTTTACTATTTTTTTAATAAATAACTCAAGATGGTGAACCTAGGTAATACTCCTTCTGCATCCTATTCTCCTCACAATAACAACCCTGTGAGGTGAATTAGGTTGAGAGAACAAGAGTGGCCTAAAGGCACCCAGCTAGATTGATCTGCAATTGAGGAAGTTTTTTTTTATTTGAGGAGAATGGATTTTATTGACTGCTTAAATTATGTCATTAAATTATGTGATCATATAAATTTACATATTTTTTGCAGGCAATATAACATAATGCTATAGATTGATTTTGAAAACAGATTCTGAAATACAGAAGTATTAAACTATTAAAAAGGTAAAGAAAAGAAATATGACTGTAAAAACTTGCTTTAGAATGGAATAGCTAGCTAGTAAATATGCTGTACATTCTTAGATAGCTGGTTAACTAAATACGTGGCATTTTGTTTTTTTAAAAGCACACTCCTTTTTTGGTACTTTTTTCCTAAATTATATAAGAATGTCAACTGCAGAATTTCAGTGGCTGAATCATCTGCCTTTTGATCAAAATCTGACAAGTTGCATACTTAAGTGTAAACCCTTTGAAAAATCTGTTGAATTAATCCTAATTATGATATTTAAGTTCATTTGCAGAATATGTACTCAGCACAGAACAAGTGTATACAGAGAACCCATGCTATTAATAATAGTTACAGAAAATGTTTAAAGGTAAAAATTACATATGGTTGGAAAAGAAAAGACAGGATTTTTTTTCCCAGTAGAAAACAAGGGATGACGGTCTAAAAGCCTTTCAAGTTGGGATAACAGAACAGAGTTGAAGAGAAAACCAAAAAGAGAGCCCCTTTTTTGTTATTTATTTCTAAGACCTATGTAGTTCATAACATAAAGAATAATAAATGTGTCTAAGCTGCATCTCTAATTGAATGAATTTGGAACCAGGCAACTACCTATAGAGTTGATTGGGGGGAGAGCCTTCTTATAGAAATCCTTCTGACAACCTTTCTGGTTTATTTGCATTTACAAATAAAACTCATCTTTTTCCATAGCAATAACAATCCCAGGTCCTTGGAAAGGACTCAATATGTGGATAAAAATGCCAGATTCAGTTTAATCATCTGGCTGATTGTGTAAACCAACCAATTAAATAATTATACTACCCAACTTAGAACCTCTATGTAGTTATACTGATTCATTATCAATGTTGCTTTTTAAATGTCTCCCTTTTAAGTATATTAGCTTTTTAGCATCTTGATGCTGATATTTTTGTTCGCAAAGGTGGTTTTCTGTTTTGTAAGATACTATGAATTTTTGCCTAGTTAAGTGGTACATGCAGTTTATTAATTTATTTATAGCATAAGGAATAAAGAAATCATGTCAAAACATGTCATTGTTGGAGGGGAAATAAACGTTAAATGGGCATTTACAGATATTAGCATTTCTTTTTAAAGAAATTGGCAATTTAGAAGGAGGACAGTTATATCTTTTCATTTTCTTAAAGGAAGAATAAATTTCTACTTATCCAAAAGCTTGATCTTTTTATCAATCATTGCATTTGTACCATTGCATTCTCATTGTTACTAAGGACCATAATGTATCTTCACAGAATCTTCATAATAAAGTCCATATATGATTCAGAATGAAATACATATACAAGTTCATTTTTGAAATGCTGACATTCAAGTACATGCACATATAATTACTATTGAGAAAGCAGTCTATCTGGAAAAATATAAGTACAATAATGTTTCCTACAAGTGCATTATGTTTCCTAGTATATATCCAGATACACAAATAATATCATAAGATGATTCCATATTCACACAAAGGATGTAGAATTTTTCACAGTAATTTTTCTGAAAATTATATATTTGACACTTTAAATTACAGTATAATTTCCAAGTATTGCAAGGAAAAGTTTTTTTAAAAAAATCCAGCTATTGTAGTACCCTCTTTACACTTCTGACCTATGTTCTTCCATCTAATAATAGTTTGTTCTAATTACATAGGATTACTCATGTAGTGATATCTATTTTTGAGGAAAAAAGGACATGGGAGGGGGGAATTATGAAAGACTTTCCAACTTCTAGTCAAGTCAATTTGCAAATTTTTCAAACAGAACAGATTTTCAGCATGAGCATCATGTTTTGCATTAAATGGTGCACTTAAGAAACACATTCCAATTTTTAAGTGAGATTAAGACAAAATATTACATGCTGCTATATACTTTAATTTAATGCAATGCAAAACAGTTTAATAAGATTATTTTCCCAACTTGGTGGTATACTCATACCAATGAGTATTTCCCCTCTATCATTTCTAATATATGACCCGTTTTATAATTAGTTCAGTTAAAGACAACAAAATACTATTATTGCAAAGTGGTTTTTTCCTTATCCCCATTGTACAGTAATTAGTTATTAATTTCTGCTAAATTGGTCAGAGCTCTAGGGAGTACAAATGTCAGTATTAGTGAACAAAACCTAGAACTCTACTGCATTAGAAGGTCAGGTAGATATTTGTTAATTTATGTACCACTTGATGTCCACCCATCATACAAGGATGGTAAAAGGAAAACAAATTGATATTATAAACTGCTAAGTAAAGAAAGAGACAGGACAAAAGAGATGTGAAAAAATATTTTTGTAAGTTGGAAATCCAAGACTTCTTCCTCTTCTCCTTAATAATTTACCATTTCTTTTTTCTTTTGCCTTTCTGAATACATAATTCTCTTCTTCTCCCTTTCCACTATTCTTTCCTTCAATCATTTCTGTAGCATGAATAATGTGATGTTTAACAAGTACACATTGTTATAAGCTGTAAATGTTTTTAATGGTGCATGAAAAATATATTCCAATTAATGGTAGTTTATACTTAAACCAGCCTTTAAGAATATGAATTTTATACTTAAACTTCTCAATTCTTCTGAGCTAAGGATTGTATATGTATAAATCTATTAATATAAATCCTACCTTGGCAATATTCCAATTATTGTAAACAATATGGATTAATGTCTATTGGGGAAAAGAAAATATACAGAGAATATGTTCAAAAGAAAAGGAACCAAAATAATTACAGACAGTGATGGGATTCAAATAATTTAACAACTGGTTCTCTGCCCTAACGATTTCTTCCAACAACCAGTTCACCAAACCTCTCAGAAAGTTAACAACTGGTTCTCCGAAGTGGTGCGAACTGGCTTAATCCCGCCACTGGTTCTAGGCAAATTAAACATTGTTTGCTAAGAAAGAAAACTAACATTTCTGGAATGTGTGTGAACAACATCTGTTAAGTTTGTGAGAGTGAGAGAGAGAGGGAGAGAGGGAGGGAGAGATCTAGCTGTTCACTATGTGATCAGTGGCCAAATGGCTATTTCTCCATAGTCTCAGCATATATTCCAGAAGATATGTTGGTGTTTCCACTAGTGTTCTCAACATACCTATTGATCATTGTGTAATTTATTGATAATTCAATAATGTCAAATGTTTCCTTTTAGAATACTTTTATCAAGTATTATACGTGTATATCTATGGTCCCACAGAAACAATTACAACCCCTAACAACTATATATTTAGTTTTTGTTGTTTTTATTACTGGCAACAAATAAAAAGTTTCATAAAGAACCAGAAAATGATCAAGAATCAAATCAAATCACCATCCCAAAAAAGGTTACACTTTAAATTTGAGGTATCATTGATATTTTCTAACTTACTTGTTCTAGCCAATGTCATGTTTACATATGTATACAATGTGACCATTTTTCAGAGAAAAATATTAGATATTTGTGTATTTTCCCCTATTTTCCACATTACATAGCTATAAGAGTTGTCCATTAACAATTGGCCTATTGAACTATTTTTAAGAATATAATTCTAGAGTTTAGAAATATTAATTTTAAAAAACCCAAAAAACAATATTCTCAATATTTGTCCAAATCTTGTAATATTTTTCATATTAGGTAATGCATTTTGTTTGTTGGCAGATAAAATAATTATTGTACGTGAAATACTTAATATATAATCCCTCATCAACATTCAGCTGAGAACTGATCTGCTTTATCCATCTTCTGCAGGTTCACCTAGGAGATCTGGATGAATAATAATGAATAATGCATTTGCATTTACTCAAGTAAAATTCCCTGCTCAATCCCAGATCCCATGAAGAGTTCCATAAGATATATTTGTGAATAAATTGTTTAAAAGTATTAACTTTATAATACCCTATTTTATTTATTAACTTCAGCCTTAGGCAGGCTCTGAGACTACAGGGTTAAAATCTTCAGTTATGGGATTCTGGTTGTTAGAAAAATGGCTGTTTACTAGTGCTGTGTTTGTTGGATTTATCCACTTATCTGTCTACTATATTATTGGATCCATTAGCTTTGATTCCAGACTTCATTCATCTCTAAATTCTGCTGACTGGTTGCAGCTTCCTATGCAATATAGTCCTGGTTTGTAAATCCACTTAGATTGTGTCTTCTTTGTAGCCAAAGAATAAAATTAACTAGAATGTAGAATAAATGAAGACATTTATATGTAGAACAAATAAAGACATTTCTGCAATTATTTAATCTTTTGTCTTTTACCCACAGTGAATATTAAGTTGGAATGTCCAACACAACCAGAGTGAATGCATTTCTACTTCTTGGATTTTCTGAAATACGGAATTTTCAGATTATATACAGTGTGATTTCTCTTGCCATATATTTAGGAGTTCTGGTGGGAAACAGCCTTATCATTATTGCCATAGGTTTTGAATGCCACCTCCATAAACCCATGTATTTCTTTCTGATGAATTTATCTCTTGCAGACATAGGGTTTGTTTCTGTAACTATTCCTAAATCTATATTCAATTCACTTTTCAACACACAATGGATTTCTTATTCTGAATGTGTCAGCCAAGTATTTTTCCTGATCTTTTTCATGGCAAGTGATTTTGCTTTCCTGACTGTAATGGCATATGATCGGTATGTTGCCATCTGTAGTCCTTTATATTATGAAACTGTGATGAATAAGGAGACCTGTATCCATATGGCAATCATTTCATGGATTGCTGCCCTTTTGTATGCACTGTTGCACACTGTTGGCACCTTTACAATGACTTTCTGTTCAAAAATCATTGATCAATTTTTCTGTGAAATCCCACAGTTACTTAAAATATCTTGTTCTGGTAGTAATGTCATTGAAAGTGTGGTCCATCTCATTGGTGCATGTTTATCATTTATGAGCTTTTGTTTTATAATTTTTTCATATGCAAAAATCTTCAGAGCAGTGACAAGAATCCCCTCCATTCAGGGAAAGAAGAAAACCATTTCCACTTGTTCACCACATTTCCTTGCAGTCTCCTTATTTCTTTTCACAACTTCATTTGCCTATCTGAAGCCTACCTCAAACTCATCACATAATCTTAATTTGGTAGCTTCTGCAATCTATTCTGTGGTTCCACCACTGATGAACCCAATCATCTACAGCTTGAGAAATAAACAAATCAAAACAGCACTAAGGAAACATCTTCCTTCTAAGAAGGCTTCTTTTCATGTCCACTAAAAAGTCATATTTAGTTTAGAGTTAGTCAAACCAATAAATTACATTTTGATTTGTGCAGGATTTCCTGTTAAAATAAAACAAACATCTACACTAGGAAAAAACAGATTCTTTTGCCTATATAAAGAATATATGTTTTCAATATGTAATTGATCAATTTTGTGTGATTTGTACTGCTATGTCTTGAGGTAAGGACAAAAAAGAAAATAAAGGTTATTGGGGTTTTTTTTAAGCTCTATGTTGAGTTTGTCCTCCTCCACCTGTCCAAAAAAAAAAAAAAAAAACATCAAGGGATTTTATGAAAAAAATCTACCATTTTTAAGGAACCAAAGCAATTGGATGTTTACAACAAAGTTTTTTACTGGCATCAAAGAATATAGAAATCACTGCATCTGCACTAAAGAATATGCCAACATTTCCAAACATTCCACAAACAAGTTTATATAGAAATGTCAGCATTCAATCTTTATACAATAATACAAACTCTTCAAATTTAATGTACGGCTGTACCCCAATTTTCTGAAATGGTAAAGGCATCAGATTAGAAAAGAGGAGACCATAGGCATTAGTCCTATTTTAGGCATAAGCCAGATGGACGACCTTAGGCATAGTCACTTTCAGCCTCAGCAAAAAAAAGTTGTCATACTTGCAGATACTTGATTCTGCAAATCACAATTGAACAGGGCCAAAAGGTGTCACAAAGATGTAATGAATAGTTAATTTATAGTCTTAAATTGAAGGGTTTTTTTAGATAAGATTTAATGATGACCCTCAAATTGGAGACCCTGGTGTATTGAAGTCATCACTCCAAAGCTCCAACACCCACATTAATATATCAGTAATTACAATACCATTGTAATTGTAATCATTGAAATAACATATATAGAGCTTTTTATTTGTCTTCTGAAATATTTACCCAGGACCACAGGCTTGAGAGCAAAACACAGCATAATAATAAAATACAACAGGGCTCACCAGTATTAAATGTTACAAAATTTTTAAAAGAACAAGATCATTCTCTGCCAAAGTCATCATATATAAAATAAGTTTAATTTTTTATAACTGTTTCTCAACATCATCATGTAATTTTTGCACACAGGAAGGATTAGTGGTGTAGAGATCAATCTTTATCCCAACTGATGCACAGAGTCAAGTTATGATCAAACAATAGCATTTTTTGTCTGCTTTTTATTTCCAATCACTTCTACCCCTTCATTATCTCTCCGCCTTCTTCCTTCTTCTTTAAAAACCTGCTGAATTCAGAATTCTATTTAGGCTTGATTTTAATGATGTATGCATATTTCTTTGTAATTTCATGTAGTTCTTCAAATTCCCATCTTTCCATAATGTCTAGTTCCAAAGTTACAGTTAATTATACAGTTCTTATTTCAGAGTTCGGGTCCAACTTAAATTTATCTAATTCAGCTGCTGTGGAGAAGAACAATGGGAGCCATCTTGGTCTTTTGTTCTTCCTTAATGTCCAGTTCCAAAATTGCAGTTAGTTATACAGATCTTATTCAAAAGGTCTGGTCAACCTTAAATTTTCAACTAATATGAAAATAGAAGAGAAGCTGGAGCCATCTTGATCTTTTGCAGAAAAAAAGGAAAAAAACTTCGTATTTTCCCAGCTCTTGACCTTGTTATTATTTTTCCCCTTGCCACTCTCCACCTCTCGTTGGCCATAGTTGCTCAAAATGTATCAATTGGAACACACTTGCATACAGCCAAACCCGGGTATGTTTCTTTCGCCTCCTGCTTTTTCAAGTTCTGATTTATAGCAGTTGGCTAATTAGAACTTTGCGCCCAGGCAAGATTAGGTTATCAGTTGTCAGTGATAAAGTAGTGCTTTTTTCTTGATCTTTCTCCATTGTTGCATTATACCTCTCATTAATTGGAGTTGCTTAAGATATATTAGTTGGAAGACTTTCGGATGAAGTAATTCCTTCGGAATGTTTGGTTTCTATTTCAAATCCAAAACCAAATTTAGAGTTTGTATTTGAGTGGGTTTGTCACATCTCTGCTTTCTCCATTTCTGTCTGAATTGTTTCAAACAAATATTTCCTTTTGGGGTCCAGTGTTTCCACCTCCATTTTCCTTTTTTTTCTTTCCTTTTGCCAAAATCCAGATCTGTCTATTAATATTATTTGTACTCTTGAGATTCATTGCCTTTTCCATGTTTTGATTTATGACTGTGAGTTAAATGAATTTTTTTACCAGACTTTCATCTCCTGTTCAGTTGTTTTGGCTGGAAGCCAGCTTCTTGCCACCCCCTACTCCAATTCAGAGGGAAAATCTCCAACTTGCGAGGGACCTGTTGCCTCCCCCTGGTTCTGATGAGATGCTTCCCCTTCTTTGCCCCCGCTCCAGGGGCGGGGTTCTGATCCAAAAAAGGATCCCTGGAGTTGGTTTGTCAGACAGGGTTCATGTGAGGCTCTTCAGAGCTCACATCCCCTACATCGGTCCAGCTGGAGAACTTCCTTTTGAATCCTAAATTCCACAAATTCTATGGAAATTCTTTTGACAGATCTCAAGTCAGTAATTGTTCCAATTACTTCCGTGAATAATGATCCAAGTGTTTCAGGTAATTGTGGCACAAGATGGCACTTCCAGAAACAAGAAACTGACTTAATGAGTTAAGTCTTAAAGAAGATATTAAAAGGAATACAAAGAGGTCTTTAACAATAGAAGGAAAGGAAGTAACACTGCCACTTGGAGACTGGAGTTTGGAAGTATTGTTGTTTTTTTCTTCCCTTTGATCCTTTGTTTTACACTTCAAGTCTCCCAGCTTGTTTACTGTGAGTGATAGCGGGAACAGCATGCATTGTTTATACAGGTGCTCTTTGGGAGCTCTTTCAATAGCTGGAGAGGAGAGAGGAGAGACCTTGACTTTGAAAGATTATAAATGAACTTGCTTCAAATCTAACAAAATGCTTCAAATGTTATAGTCACAGTGTTTAGAAATTGGAAAATGGTGCAACAAGTAAAAGAAAACTTAACATTCCAAATAATTATGTTTTGTTGGAATACAAAAGATTTTAGTAGTAACAGAAAAAATTGAGAAGAGACTGGGTAATATAGAACACAGCACAGTAAAATTTGATGGAAAAATTTAGGATATTTATCAAATGGAAAAAGTGGAGGACAGAGTTCTAAAAATTGAAGGAAAAAATAATCAAAGAAACAAGAAAACTGTTTATATTGATAGTAAACTGAGCCTGGCTGGAAATGAAAAGAGTGGAATATGGAAAGGGGACTGGAACTTTATCCCAGACTTCAAAGTACAAAAGAAAAAGAAAGAGACAGAAATTGATGGAAGTAAGGAGAGAAACTTTATCAGAAGCACAAGTGATAACTAAAGATAAGCTGATTGAAGAAGCAAATGGAAGGTTTCAAGTTTACATAAGAAATGAAATTAACAATAACTTGCGAAGAGAAGTCTATATAAGACTTACCAAGAAATTAATCAGAATGCTAATACTACAAATGGCAAGAGACATAAGACTGCACTATTACTGGAAAGACGCAGGTTGATGTAATGAAAGCTGAAAATAAAAATTAAGTAAAATTTAGTTACATTTAGAGTAATAGCAATAGCAATAGCAATAGACTTATATACCGCTTCATAGGGCTTTCAGCCCTCTCTAAGCGGTTTACAGAGAGTCAGCATATTGCCCCCA